GGAAGTATATCGTGGCACTGAAGCAATAGAGCGGGTGCAAGAGGATGCCTGTTGGAAGCGTTCAAGACATCAAAAGGTGTGAAACAAGGCTGCATACTAGCCCCTACACCTTTTGACATAAATAGTCATCCAGATGATAGATTACAACACCCCATCATCCCTGGTCATTGGGGCTGATGAGAGCTGACGTCCAACAACTCCTGAAGAGACACAAGTTCCCCATTCCATGGCATAAATTAGCTATATATGCATACATGCCTATATAGGAGCAGCCCCAGCCATGTCATCATTCCCTTATCCATTTCCCTTTTTACAGGCTTGCAGAAATGGCAGCCTAACTTATGCCTGCCCAAGCCAACAATAGGAACATTGTTTTAAAAATAGACGGCTTTCTAAACGTTTAAGCCATGCTCCAAACATATTTAAAATCCAGATGCTGTGGCTTGATGAGAGTGGTATGTATAAACTTTCAAGCTTGGAGTAATCCTCATTATTAGGAGTCATTTCCCGCCCTGATCACGGGGTTTCAAAAGTGCAACTTGAAGGCATTTGGGACTAATTGGCTGCTTCGCGATAGAGACTGTTTCTACCAGGCATTTCAAAGGATATATCCCTGAATTACAAAAAATGGGGGGGGGAGAGAGAGACAAAAAACACTAGCAGCCTGCAGGAAAGAGTCCAATCTCCTTGGGATCGGGGTTTTCGCTTGCTGGAAAACAAAGAGCACTACAATGAAGAGATCTGCATTTGGAACAACATAAAAATCTCCCTGTGAAATGAATCTTGTGCTGAACTGAAAAAGAGTGAGATTTCTGTATGAGGAAGGGAAGACCATGGCAAAAGTCAAAATGCTGTGTGTAGGAAACCTCCAGCCTTCCAGATATTGCTGAACTTGTTGATGTTTAGCTGTTTAGTCGTGTCCAACTCTTCATGACCCCATGGACCAGAGCACGCCAGGCACTCCTGTCTTCCACTGACTCCCACAGTTTGGTCAAACTCATGCTGGTAGCTTCGAGAAGACTGTCCAACCATCTCGTCCTCTGTCATCCCCTTCTCCTTGTGCCCTCCATCTTTCCCAACATCAGGGTCTTTTCCAGGGAGTCTTCTCTTCTCATGAGGTGGCCAAAGTATCACAATCTGTCCTTCCAGTGAGCACTCAGGGCTGATTTCCTTCAGAATGCAACATCTGTAGTCTCCGCATTTTTGCCTTATAAAGCCCAGTGCCCAGAATCTGTTTGGCACACTGCTTTGTGAGGAGGTGGCTACAGCTCCCAAGATTCTTTCAAGGGTGGAGAATGGCTTTTAAAAGTATGGGGTATGCACAGCTTTTGAAAGATATGCTGCTGTTCCCACTCACCCAAGCACAGGAGGTCTGAATACAAATTGGTGGTCTAGGCATATGGGACTCCGAGACGGGGAAGCTGCAGGGCAGTCTCTCTGGATGTTGCAAAGCCAATAATAAGGCCATGATTTGGGATGTCAACCGTAAAGGGTTTAGTCCTTGTGCTATTTTACCCGAAGGGATATACGGTAATAGGAATTTATCGTTTATGCAAAAGCAGCATCCTGCTCGTTATCCGCTGAGACTCTCATTGCATATTTGCTCCCTGAAGTAATCGTAACCAGATGTGGGGAAAGGTTGTGGTTTTAATCAGGCATCTTCTGCGTCCCACTGGACCCAATCACACCCATGTCTCTGTGTCTGTGCTATATGACAAAATATCACTGTTTCCACAGTTCACTGACGTATGGTCCAAGTTGGCTGTCACATGCATATTTATCAGCTGATTTCAGCCCATCTGCATTTGTCGTAACATATTTTAATTTTTTTCCAGCCACACGAGTTTTAAGATATATCGGGGGATGGGGGTGTCCACATATGAACGATGTGCTCCCAGACCTGTTCTATAGAGAAAAGGAACCCATGTCTGAAAGAAGCCCTGAACTGAAAGCCGTAGAATAGGACAGTAGCATATGTTCTGAAAAATCCTCAGCGGTTCTTCTCAGTATTGAGGCCTGCATGAGTCTTGCTAGGTGGAGACATCACCTGATCTGGCAGGTGTATTATGTGCAAGCTCCATGTTAGAGACAATGTGCCACGGAGTATCAGCAACCCCTGAGGAACCATCATTTGGGTTCCATGATGGGAGAAAATTGGGTTAGACATGTAAGGCAATAAATCTTCTTGTCTGGGACACCTAACTTATTACCATTTCAAAGTCTGATGGAAAAGCAGCTGTGGTTCCTCTATAGAGTGCTGTTATCCACTGTCCTCCTTCATCAGCTGTGGTTAGATGGTCCCCAGAAGGGTTTGGCAGCAAGTGAATGACAGATAACAGGACTAGAGAAGAGTTTCCTCTTCTCTTCTCTTCTGTTTCATTAGCATCCCAGGAAGATGCTTGAACATGCTCATTCTCCCCCACCCACCACCACCTGAAGAGCCCTAACCGAGTTGGGTCTGTTCTGAATGGCTAGATATTGGATGTGGCCCTTCCAGGGTCTATCGCCTGCTGTTAATCCACTGGCGAATAATGAGTCCCGGCAAACGAAACGAATTATCAAGAGTTTGCGGACATGTTCCAGCCAGGCATAAACATTCAAGGAGGGCACAAAGCAATGCTGGCGAGGGGCGTGGTCCATGAGAAGTGGGTGTGGCCTCAGAAGAGTCTCGAGGGGCAGAGGGGCCTGTGATGCCACAAGGCTCCTTGGGGTTGGCTTGTTTCTTGCTGCAACAGAGCAGCACAACTACCTGGTAGTGTAGCTAGCTGGGGGTGGGCACACCAGGTGCTTGGGGGGCTGTTGGGCAGCACGGTGGCTGCTGGGCATTGTGGGGTGAGCTTTCAAGAGGCAGGGAAGCTGGAGGTCAGCCTGGCGTTTGCTGGGCGTGTTGGTCATTGCAGGGGGCGGAGCCACTGCCCATCACTCAAAACGCCAGCTACAGAATTTTGGCAGCTGCTCTAAATAAACTCAACTTTGGTCTGCACCAGGCATCAGTGGGAGTTCCTATGCCACTTCAAGTACCCTTCAGGGAATTCGTTTCCAGCGGAAGGCACCGTTGCTACTAGTGAGAAGGCTGACAGTTTGTAACATAAATGTTTTTATTTTCTGCTAAAATATTTGTTTTGTTTTAGTTCAGTATTCTACTGATATTTCCGTACTTTAATATAAAAATAATAATAATAACAATAGGAAGAGGCAGAATTACTTTTTTTTTTTTCAACTATTAGCACCATTACGGAAAGCTTAAAGGATGCGACGATCGGAACTGAAATATGTCAAAAAGCTATTAAAATGTACGTTTCCTGCAAGCGGGTGGGGAATGAAAGTCAGGATAAAGTCTCTGTTCACTGAGAAACGTGGCATGGTGCTTGGCCGTAATTTTCATAGCAGCGGCCGTTATTCAGTTATGCATCTCCAATGCTGACCATCGAACGCTGATGTTGAATGGAGCCACTGAAACACAATCAGAACTACAATGTGGAAATGACACAGTGCAGGTTTCTGCCCAAAAGGAGGCCTGGTGAAGATAGTCTACTCCTGTGGCTCCAGAACAAAAGAAGGGGCAGGGGGAGCAAGTTTAACATAACTTCTGGCAAGACTTCACAATTCTATAAACCTTTCCCACAAGGATTAAGACATTCAGAAACGAGTCCTCTGTGCGGCATTTGTCATGGTTAACGTTTTAAAGCTAGACTTAATGTGAGTGGTTTATTGAAGAGGAATCGACATTTAACAGGCCTGCTCCAATAGGTACGGGTAGCTCTTGGTATAATCTCTTTGTATAATCCTCCTTTTCCATACTGCCAACAAGGGTTTTTACAGGTTGAGGGGGTGGGAGGGTGAACTCTTAATGGGTAACAGAACCTACCCATTGCTCAGATTAATTACAAAACGCAGAAAATGTTATGCCATGTTTGGTCCAACGTTATTTTGCCCTCTTGGCTAAACTTGCAAATCATCTTGTCTTCCCTTTTGAAATTTTGACTGTTAACCCTCACCGTTCCCAAGCCATGTATACATTTGGCCCTTTTGTTTTTCAAACCCAGGAAATGTCAGGATCTGAGTGTCTGTGTGACTGTGACCCAGTTCAGATGATTTTGCTGACTCCCAAATATAGGTGCCGAGCGCTGTAGGGGAACTAAAATGCACCGTCTGGCCCAGATCTCAGTGGCACAAAGGACTGAATCACACAGTTTCTCCCCAGCCTGGAATGATATACACTTGGGGCCTGCACATACTGAATTTCAGACGCATAAGGTAAAGGTAAAGGTACCCCTGCCCGTACGGGCCAGTCTTGACAGACTCTAGGGTTGTGCGCTCATCTCACTCTAGATGCTGGGAGCCAGCGCTGTCCGCAGACACTTCCAGGTCACGTGGCCAGCATGACAAGCTGCATCTAGCAAGCCAGCGCAGCACACGGAACGTCGTTTACCTTCCCGCTGGTAAGCGGTCCCTATTTATCTACTTGCACCCGGGGGTGCTTTCGAACTGCTAGGTTGGCAGGCGCTGGGACCAAGCAGCGGGAGCGCACCCCGCAGCGGGGATTCGAACTGCTGACCATGTGATCGGCAAGTCCTAGGCGCTGAGGTTTTACCCACAGCGCCACCCGCGTCCCATTTCAGACGCATAAGCCCTATGTAAATAATTTGCAGCAAGCTGGGGCATCTCACCAGTGCGCCTGGTGAGAGGGCATATAAGGCACAATTTCACTCCTTCACTGCACGTAGCTTCTGCCTACAGAGGAGGTAATCTGACCCAACCCTGTGTCACTGTTTCCATTGCAGACCTCTGCGGTGACCTACCCTTGGTTTATGCATAGAAGACAATGCATGAACGCATCAAGTCCCTCTGCTGAAAAGAACAGGGCAACTTGAATATTTCATGGGTTCAGAGCACATTAACAGATTCAGTTGACTATGGACAAACAGTGGCTCTGGCACCTGCTAACCGTGTCACATTTGCCATTTTTTTCAAAAAAGAAAAAAAAAACCACTGTCATAGAAATGGTCCACAGACATTTGTGAGGATAATATACCAAAAAATAAAATAAAAAATTCTGTGTGTCTATACTCCTACAAATACAAGGGGCCAGAAAACACAAGAAGAAGATAAAAACTAATCTGGACTACAACATGATCTCATAGTAAACAATAGAATACAACGTGCAATAGTGCAATTTCTTCTTTGCTGCTCCAACAAGGCAAGTCTTTTAATTTATAGAAGTCCATGGACTGTTATTATTTTTTCCTGACACGTGACATTTTTGCATCTAGTTGTGCCTTTGCCGCGGGTTGGTGCTTCTGCTGGATTTTTGAGCAGAATCGCTTTGTCCAGGTTCGTTTCTGCCCTTCCCAGGATGGCGGAGTTTCTGATCCCAGCGCTGAAAAATAAGAACAAACAAACATCTATTTTAAAAACATCGCTACAGGGCTCATGGAGGAGGTCCTGATGCAGGTTTTGCCTCCTTCTAAGAGTTTGCTCGAGCTTGATCCCTCCCTCTTTTTCAATAAACTCTGTTTTATTGCTGTATCCTTTACAATGGCGTAACATTCCTATTAATATTTTGATCTCCAAGGAAACATACATGCCTACTTTTAGAAATGTTGGCCGCCTCAATGCACTGCTATGTCAGCATTTACGTCAATACTAGTTCTACCAAATAATGTCCGACTTTCCCTTTAAAATCAAAATTCTATAGTAAAACAAAAAAGGAATAATTCCTTGCCAAAACAACTGCAGCTGCATTTGCCCTCTCCCCTCAAAAAAATACGTGCTGCTTCTCATCTTTTGAATAAAAACAATTCAGACTATGCTTAAATGCTAACAAAAAAACTTTTATATCTCTGTGTGAAGGTGAACTGCTTTGATATTTCATTTTTTATTAAAAGGGACATCCCAGTGAGAATATGTCTATCTAGTGTCTCTCCTCCGTTTCTTGTTAGAATTCCTACTCTCGAGTAGGACGAGCTCCTGATATTTCTGGTCTAGCACATGAAGTTCTGGATCCACATTGTAAAAGTGGAAGAGCAACCCTGTGGGTTCTTAGTACTGAAACAACTGTTTTAAAAACTGAGAATAGATCTCACCTATACTTTTGCTTATATAAACATAATAAGAGTGTATATTTTTATAGTTGCAGATGGGTGGGCATCACATTCATCTTTTGCTGAAAATCTGCCCAGAATGACTCTCCACCAAGCAATTGGTTAATTAGCGACCATCACATAATGTTCTGAGTTTGCACATAACACAAAACCATAAGTTATTAAGCTATGCTTTGTTAAATTGGCTTAGTATGTTTCACTATGCTTTATTTGCTACCAAAAAGCCACAATCTGAAATCATGATTTGTTGTTGACTTTATAAACCTCGGTTTGCTTCAACTATGGCTTGGTGTTCTGGATGAACATAGCACCCTTCCTTAATCATTGTTGACCACCTCACCTCAGACACTCCCCACAACTGCAAAGGAAGGAGGCAAGAGCCACTGAAAAGCAAAACAAACTTGGGAGAAATGAGCCAGGGTTTGCCTGGATCTTTTATAGTATAAGCATCCATCTTCACTTGGTTTGGCCATGCTATCCATGGCCTCCAGATGTGATTAGACTCCAGCTTCCATCAGCCCCCAGCTAGCACAGGGATAGAGGAGCTGGAGTCCATTCCCGCCTCTGATGTAATGCAAAACAACAGCAGCAGCTGCAGTTTTAATTAACTGCATCAAGTTGGTTCCCACTATTTTGAACCAAAGGTGGCTTCTAATAATTTAAGAATATGACAGTTTGAGATGCAAAAACAGAGGCAGTATTTTGTACTGTATGCTTCAGTCTGCATCTGATGAAGAAGAAGCAACAAAATGTGCAATGAAGACCACACACCTTATAACAATCTGACAAGACGAGTCATAATACAGTGGTACCTCGGGTTAAATACTTTATTTGTTCTGGAGGTCCGTTCTTAACCTGAAACTGTTCTTAACCTGAAGCACCACGTTAGCCAATGGGGCCTCCTGCTGCCACCAAAGCACAATTTCTGTTCTTATCCTGAAACAAAGTTCTTAACCTGAAGCACTATTTCTGGGTTAGCGGAGTCTGTAACCTGAAGCGTATGTAACCCGAGGTACCACTGTAAAAATGTAACTTTAAATTAAACAAATTATATCAATTAAAATAATACTGTATTCAAAAAAAACCAATCATTAGAATACAATAAAATTAAATATCGGCAAATAATGATGAAACAGAAATTCACTCTTAACAATTACAATGAATAATTACTAAACTATAATCTAAATAAATAAATAAATAGATGTCCGTCATTAAGGTGCTACAGGGCTCCTTGTTCTTTTTGATGCAACAGCCTAACACAAGGACACCTTTGGGTATTACCTCTTTGTTTGATTAACAACTGTGTTTAAACCCGAAACCCTGCCCCAAATCTATTTCAGGGTTAGGGGGTGGTGGAAGAGGTATCAATTCAGTTTTCATTATATGCACCAGCCTATTTAAACCACAGCAAGTGGTCCAGCTCGGACTGAGGTCGTTGCATGATTTGTACACACAAGAATGTTTGTAAGATTAGCCCCAGGGGTGCTATTAGAAACACAAGAAAACAAGAAATAGGATACATCTATATGAATGAACGGTGCATAGACACACGATTCTTAAACATTGCCCTCTCCCCCTCCAACATGCTTTTAATCAAGCAATCCCAGGCCACCTTAGCGATCGTATTAACTGTGCAAATGAACTGGCCAACACCAACGTGATGACTCAGCCAGAAAAGGGCCTTTGGTTTTATTTATTTTTTAAAAAAATAAAGCCTAAGTAAAGCCACCTGTGGAACCATTTGAGAAAACAGAGCAGAGAAAGCCGTCAAGTGATGTGAGTGCAACAGCCGGGCAAGACAGCGACCACAGTATGAGGGACAAACCACAACTTGTGGCTTCTAGGGCTGGGGGCCAAGACTATATGTTTTGACCCATCTCATGTTCACACTTGCCCTTCCAACAACTGTCACTGTGGGTTTCTCTTCATGCATTTTCTGTCTTCCTGGATTTTCAAGGCTTCAAGTTTTAATCTCTCCCATATATACAGTGGTACCTCGAGTTAAGTACTTAATTCATTCCGGAGGTCTGTTCTTAACCTGAAACTGTTCTTAACCTGAAGCACCACTTTAGCTAATGGGGCCTGCTGCTGCTGCTGTGCCGCCAAAGCACGATTTCTGTTCTCATTCTGAAGCAAAGTTCTTAACCTGAGGTACTATTTCTGGGTTAGCGGAGTCTGTAACCTGAAGCGTATGTAACCTGAAGCGTATGTAACCCGAGGTACCACTGTGTGTGTGTGTGTGTGTGTATCCTTCACCATGAGCTTGTTTTCTCTGGCTCTGGAAGGCAATGGATTCAAGTTACAAGAAAGGAGATTCAGACTAAACATTCGGAAGAACTTTCTGCCCTGTATACCTGAAGGAGCGTCCCCACCCCCATTGTTCAGCCCAGACACTGAGCTCCAGTTCCGAGGGCCTTCTGGCAATTCCCTCACTGTGAGAAATGAGGTTACAGGGAACCAGGCAGAGGGTCTTCTTGGTAGTGGTGCCTGCCCTGTGAAACGCCCTCCCATCAGATGTCAAGGAAATAAATGACTATCTGACTTTTAGAAGACATCTGAAGGCAGCCCTGTTTAGGGAAGTTTAATTTCATGTTTGATGTTTTATCATGTTTTTACTATTCTGTTGGGAGCCACCCAGAGTGGCTGTGGCTGGGGAAACCAAGCAAAATGGGTGGGGTATAAAGAAATATTATTATTATTATTATTATTATTATTATTATTATTATTATTATTATTATTATTATTTGACAGTGGAACGGTCTCCCTGGGAAGGTGGTGGACTCTGCTTCCTTAGAGGTTTATAAGCAGAGGCTGGATGGCCATCTGTCAGGGATGATTTAGTGTTTGCGCAGGGTTTTTGTGTCAGAGTCATTTGGGTAGGTCCTTTATTTATATATTTATCAGTTGACAGCACAGGTGTCAAAAAGCGGGGGCGGGGGGGGGAGATTCCAGCTATATCTGTCAGGCAGAGTGGTCAACAATGGATGAAGGAACTAAGTGATAATGGTGTAATCCTGTCAGCCAAAATGGAGGGTGCTATCAGTCTCTGCTGCTGAGCAAACTTTAAAGTATATTTTCTTGCAAATTCCAGTTCCTCCACCTCCTGAGAATCTACCTGATGGAAATGACAGGACTGTCATTAAAACATCATCTCTCCTTGGGAGTTTATTTGCACTCCATCTCCAGCTGCTAGTCAGGAGAAGGCCACACCCAGGCTGACAGCACTCTTATTTTATTGGACTGGACTCTGTATTCCCTTGTGGTCCACGTATCTCTGTGACACGCAGACAGTAGCCTTTTGCACTCCTTGACCTTTGGGCCTCATTTAAGGGACAACAACAAACAACAACATTTTCCTCTCCTCTTTGGACCTATATCTTCTAATCTATACATTTGCTAGTTGTCAGGAGGGCAGTCGAGACTCATTGTTTTTCACCCAATGCTGGTTGCCTCCCTGTAAGCTCATCATTCCAGAAATCTTTTTTTGAATCTGTTGGCCCTCACTAAAAGACAAATGCAACACAACAGATTCATAGCTGAGATTGCTTGTTTTAAGAAGTTGCTAATCCCACATGCTGGGGTCAGGATGCTGAACAGTTGGCTTCAGAGCGAGGATCTGGAGGATATTACATTAAATACAAAATGCATATGAAAAGCCAGTAAGTTTGAATAATATTTTCAAGGTTCCAGATCAGTTTGGCTTTAGAGAAGCAATGGGTGCAGACACTAATGCATTTTAAAAGAAAGGTGTCAAAGCAGGGTTGTGCAATGTATATATTCTGTTTGTGGTGAATGAACCTTGAGGTACTTTGGATGTGCTTTAACACACAAAGTTTGAGCTACAGAGCTCATATCATTTTATTCATGTTGCCAAGTCATTCAAAAACGGGGACTTGAAGTTCCTGACTTAATGCTCTCCAAACCACTGAAGGGACAAACTGAGTAAACTCAATGAACTATTGTTTCATATTCTTGGCAGCGGCAAAAGAAACAGAAGAGCAAACACAATTGAGAGAAACCGATATGGGGCTTAAAGAACAGTGACAACTTGAACGGAGGCAGCGAAAGGATCTCTACATGGTCAGATATAACTAGCAGCAATGGATAGAAACCACTGGTAACCTGTTCACTGGTGTTGTATCCACTTTCATATGGAGTTAACTGGAGTGATATTGGCTATTAATCCACCTGGCCAAAAGCAGCAGTGGGTTTACCGCTGACAGAAACCAGAGACTTGTCCTCTTTAAAGAAATTTGTAATAATAATAACAACAATTTATTACTTATAGCCCACCCATCTGACCAAATCTCCCCAGCCACTCTGGGTGGCTCCCAACAGAATATTAAAAACATGATAAAACGTCAAACTTTAAAAACTTCCCTAAACAGGGCTGCCTTCAGAAGTCTTCTAAAAGTCAGATAGTTGTTTATTTCCTTGACATCTGATGGGAGGGCGTTCCACAGGGCAGGCACCACCACCGAGAAGGCCCTCTGCATGGTTCCCTGTAACTTGGCTTCTCGCAGTGAGGGAACCGCCAGAAGGCCCTCGGAGCTGGACCTCAGTGTCCGAGCAGAACAATGGGGATGGAGACGTTCCTTCAGGTATACTGGGCCGAGGCCGTTTAGGGCTTTAAAGGTCAGCACCAACACTTTGAATTCTGCTTGGAAATGTACTGGAAGCCAATGTTGGTCTTTCAGAACCAGTGTTATATGGTCTCAGTGGCCACTCCCAATCACCAGTCAAGCTGCTGCATTGGATATTAGACCCAATTGGGTATTTGAAGGGTCTAGAAGCTTCCTTGCATGCAAAGAAGCATACAAAGTCTCCCGCAGAGTTGAGAGCATGGAGGGGACTGGAAGTTCCAATATTGTGTGCACAGAACTTGCACTGGATACAGCATCACGGGTAACATTTCTCTACTTTCAAAAGAGCTTCTCTGGTCACCTGGCTGCTTCCTGGCCCAGTTCTGAGTGCTGGTGTTTTACTTCTAAAGACCTAAATGACTCGGGAGTCCAAGTGCCTGAGGTGCCAAGCTGATACTTCAATATCAACTTAACCGTATTCTAACATCATCTGCAGATGCCCTTCCCCTGGACGCCTTCACTGTCCAAAGCGAAGCATAAGGCGTGGGCTTTTTCAGCTGTGACGCCCTGGTTATGGAATGTATGCCCTTCCGGGGGAGGGGGCCTTGCCTAGCACTAATATTGTTTTTCTTTTAGGCACCAGGCAAATAGCTATTCATGTGTCTGGGCTTATAAAATGCTTTTCACATTCTTTTAAGTTTCATTGACTAGACCTTTATCTGCTGACCTCATATCTCTTTCTCTCTCTATATATAAATGCATTAGTGGTGTGGTTTTTTTTTGGGGGGGTGTCATATTTAAATCTTGTAAACCACTCAGCAATAAAAAGGTGGTATAAAAAGTTTTAAAAGCTTTAAATAAATAAAGGCTGGATTATGATCAGACAGATATTTGTGCACCCTGCTACCTTCCAAGGTGCTGTTGGAAGGCGAAGGTTTTCTGTTGCAGATTCCAGGCTGCAAAAGTGCCTGTCTGTTATCTTGATGGCATTCCGATGCCGGCAAAAGGATATATTTGCTCCAGGATCCTTTTGCCTTGTGAAATCTTTTATTTGTCTAGTTCCCAAGCAAACAGAGACTTCTCCGGCTGACCTCAGGGGATGGGCAGAGTTGTTTTGGGGTAGGAGGGGGGGGTGTTGTCTTTTAAGCATCCTATTTCTAAGCTATTTAGAGTTTAAAGGTGATTGTCAGGCTTATATTCAAACTGCTTTATTATATAAACAAGTAGTAATGTGCATTTTTTTATCATCATCATAGCAGGTATACTCACAAAACACTGGTACTAATTTGATGATTTTCACATTTATTTTGAATGTTGACATGGTTTTTGGGCCTCAGTTTAGTCTTAGTCATATTTCGTTTTATGGCACATGACTAAATATTAATATATTTGGGGGTGGAATCTCTTTACAGCAATCTTTGGAATGTTTACATGCTCATTTATACTTTTCAAAAGGGTATGGTATGAGATTTGGGATCACTGAGAAGGAGAACTTCATTTGTTCTGGAAGTCTTCCCCGTGTGTTGATGAGTGATACCAAAGGCTGGATCCCTCTGCAAGCTTAGGTCAAACATGATCAAACAAGTCATGAAACTTTGTCTTACCTTGACTTTTTTACCAAGTCGATCCTTCCATTTCTCAGCTATGGAGCCTTCTACCAAGAGCAACCTACACATTTACAGGAAAACAACGTCAACAATGCATCGTAATATATGATATGATTATATGATATGATATGATATATGATATGATATGATGACGTGATGTGATGTGATGTGATACACACACATAAGCATAATGAATATATTTAGGGACAAAGGGAATGCTTCATGTTCAAGAAGGGGGAAAAGCAACCTATGAAGACAGAGGTCACCAATATGATGCCTTCCCATCTATCCCTGCCAGCATGACCAATGGTAAGGAATGATAGCAGTTGTGGCCAACTATGGACTACCACTCAACTTCTGGTGTAGTGGTTAAGAGCAGTAGACTCGTAATCTGGTGAACCGGGTTCAATTCCCCACTCCTCCACATGCAGCTGCTGGGTGACCTTGGGCCAGTCACACTTCTCTGAAGTCTCTCAGCCTCACTCACCTCACAGAGTGTTTGTTGCGGGGAAGGAAGGGAAAGGAGATTGTTAGCCGCTTTGAGACTCCTTAATGTAGTGATAAAGTGGGATATCAAATCCAAACTCTTCTTTTTCTTCAAACTCTTCTTCCCTGGTAATTGCCACCCCCACCCGCCCATACCACTACATCCCTAGAAGTGTTTTCTGTCAGCTCCATTACTCGCTGAGGGGAAGATACTTATGTTACTTTCGTTTCCACAATTTAAAGCCTTACACAGTCTGGACCAATGTGTCAGGGAGCATCTTCTTCCATATGCATCAGCCTGATTACTGATACTGTACATCTTCAGATGAGGCCTTGTTCAGAATACTTACAAGACCTTTGGAAGGCTAGTTCCCAATGTGCAATGGGACCTTTTATGTAGTGGTACAAACCGATGTAGCATCCCTCTTCAGGAAGGCCCACCATAGGGAACGGGAGAGAAAGAAGAGTTACCTCGAGCGCTCTTCGTCTTCGTAACCCATGATGATGTATTCTTCGTTAGCATTGAGAGGTGGGCAGAGGCAGCCAGAGTTTGTGTACAGGTTTACAGTGTCCCTAGGAATGTTCACCAAGGAAGATTTTAGTATCTCCTTCACTTCCACTACTGCAGTGACATCGTGACATTTGGTCTTCACCTCCTTCACTTTAGCTCGAATGACTGGAGAAAAATAACAGAAAGAGGGGTTAAGGTTGCGGTAGCCAGAGCTGCATCAGCCTAAAGCTTTTACTCCTTTGAATATTTATTTGCTTCTCCTCCTGAGACCAATGTCGTTTGTTTTAAATGGAAGTCTTATCGTCATGTTATGGTGCTATTTATTTTGTTATTGTGCTAATTATTATTCCACGCGGGGGCCCTGCAACACAGCAGCTTGTTTGTTTGTCTATATACTTCTTCATGTCCAAATCAGCTTCTATGGCAGCTTCTACTTTGTATACTTTTATGAAGTCTAAAAAAAACAAACCGGTTACACAAAATATAACCATCCGTAGTTACACTATCAAACAAACCAACTGAAACACTGAAATGGATAAACACCCATAATCAAAACACACAATAAATCAGCCTCATTAAAATGAAAACACCGTTAAAAAAGAGGTTGAGAGATTGAGGGAATGTCTCCAAAAGCTGGTGGATTGGCAATACAAGTGGAGCTTCTCGTGTTTCAGCAGGACGTGAGTGCTATAAGCCCAGTGCTCCCTGTGGAAAAACCACCCAACATTGCAACGAGAACATGTGGCAAAGCGTGTTCTCCTTCATGGAGAGCACGTGTTGCGGTGGGGGCCGACAGGACACTCCAAAGTTGTGGGGCGGGCTAATTGATCGTTGGCCACTGTTGTGATTGGGCTTCCCATGTTGTTGGGATTAAGTTAATGTTGCCATTTGTTGATTGACAGCCAGAAATGCTAAAACTCCCTGCACGAGGCGTAGAGCTTCCTCTTTTCGCCCCGTGCATCGGATTGCCCGTCCCACCCTCCCTATATTTAGGGTTGTTCGCTTTGACCTTGCTATGCCTGTCATGGGGTCGTCTGCTCTTGGGGCAGGGGCCCGGTAGGAATTTTGTCCATCTGGCTGATTGGCTGGGGCCATTTGGTTTTTGCCTACTGCGTAGCAAATTGTCACAACTTGTAAGGTTGCGGTTAGGCATTGGTTTATGGTTTGGTTGGTTGAGGGGCATGGATTGGCTGTGCCTGCCCCTCTAATGCTGCTGCTGCAAGGGATTCCGTTAAAGGAATACAGGGGCTCACTATTGCTTTTGTCCACCCTGTCAAGGGGCTAGGGCCATGCAAGAGCCCCTGGTTGCATTTGGGGAGGGCTGAGGGCAGGTTCCCTGCTCTATAGCTAGCCCCAAGTATATTCCCCTTTTCTGACTTTCGCAGGTGTGCGGAATGTCAGTCTGTCCTCCATTGGGGGGGGGGACAAATAGTCGCAACCAATGCCTAAGCAACCACACACATTTTTTGTATTTTAATAAAGTTGTGGCCAAAATTATGCCAAAAACCTTAAACAAAAAATTCTGTGTGATGTGTGAGTTATTGGGGTGGCCCTGGGGACCTCAACACGCAATGTTCTAACCACTCTCTTCCATGCTCGCTTTCGCCAGTTTCTCTTCTCCTCTCCCCATTCTGTGCCTAGTAATCCATCCTCATTAGTCCTTTGGGGGTTTTCGCCCTCCATTTTGGAGGGATGGATGCACTTATGCCCAATCCTGTCATGGCCTGGGGTCAGACTCCCCTTCTTCAATGGATGAGGCCAGAGGTCTAGAATAGGACTGAGGGAATAGCGCTCAGGCCCAGAAGACCTAATCTACTGGAAGCATTTCCGCAAGCAAAACCCGTAGTGTTTCTGGCCTAAGACATCCCGCTGCCCTCCTCTGACACAGAGATCAAGCCAGCAACCAGTGAGAGATGCTCAGTCCATCCGGAGAGTGTGGACTTTAAGCTGGAAACTGAGAGTTGAATGGTCAGGTGGGGATGTGACTCTCAGTGAGGGAGAGGGACTGTCCATGTGTGTTTGGACTCTCTGAGTGGGGTTAGTTAGGACCACACTTTCTGCTTCCTAACTTTCTTTCCAGAAGGGCTTTCTTCGAAGGAAAGCACAATGTCCGGGGCAAAGTGCAGACCCCAGCCTTCTATCACGGCTTCTGCTATTACACAAAAGCTACGACGCCCCAATAGGAGAGGCAGAAGCTAAGAAAGTCAGCTCTCCATTAACCTTCCCTGTTGCTGCCTCTGAAATGCCTTGAGCTAACACAGCAGCTAGAAGAGGGTGGGAATGTATCTCTCCCATATTTCCATCAAGAACCATCTTTATAATCCTATAGGCAAGGTAGTGTAGCGATTAGAGTGTCACCAAGGACCTAGGAGAACAAGGCTCAAATCCTCATTCGGCCATGAAGCCAGTCACTGGGTGACCTCAGGCCAGTCACTGCCTCTCAGCCTAACCTACCTCACAGGGTTGTTGTGTTTGGAGAACCACATTTGTCACCGTAAGCTGCTTGGAGAAGAAAGGTATGGTATAATGACACACAGAGATAGAGACAGAGATGATAGAGATAGAGATAGAGATAGAGAGATAGAGAGATAGAGAGATAGAGAGATAGAGAGATAGAGAGATAGAGATAGAGATAGAGATAGAGATAGAGATAGAGAGAGATAGAGATAGAGATAGAGATCAGAGATAGAGATAGAGAGAGAGAGAGAGAGAGAGAGAGAGAGAGATAGAGATAGAGATAGAGATAGAGATAGAGATAGAGATAGAGATAGAGATAGAGATAGAGAGATAGAGAGATAGAGAGATAGAGAGAGATAGAGATAGAGATAGAGATAGAGATAGAGAGATAGAGAGATAGAGATAGAGATAGAGATAGAGATAGAGATAGAGATAGAGATAGAGATAGAGATAGAGATGATAGAGATAGAGATAGAGATAGAGATGATAGAGATAGAGATAGAGATAGAGATAGAGATAGAGAGATAGAGATAGAGATAGAGATAGAGATAGAGATAGAGATAGAGATAGAGATGATAGAGATAGAGATAGAGATAGAGATGATAGAGATAGAGATAGAGATAGAGAGGTAGAGGTAGAGGTAGAGGTAGAGGTAGAGGTAGAGGTAGAGGTAGAGGTAGAGGTAGAGATAGAGATAGAGATAGAGATAGAGATAGAGATAGAGATAGAGATAGAGATAGAGAGGTAGAGGTAGAGGTGAGGTAGAGGTAGAGGTAGAGGTAGAGGTAGAGGTAGAGGTAGAGGTAGAGGTAGAGATAGAGATAGAGATAGAGATAGAGATAGAGATAGAGATAGAGATAGAGAGGTAGAGGTAGAGGTAGAGGTAGAGGTAGAGGTAGAGGTAGAGGTAGAGGTAGAGGTAGAGGTAGAGATAGAGATAGAGATAGAGATAGAGATAGAGATAGAGATAGAGATAGAGATAGAGAGGTAGAGGTAGAGGTAGAGGTAGAGGTAGAGGTAGAGATAGAGGTAGAGGTAGAGGTAGAGGTAGAGGTAGAGGTAGAGGTAGAGATAGAGATAGAGATAGAGATAGAGATAGAGATAGAGATAGAGATAGAGATAGAGATAGAGATAGAGATAGAGAGGTAGAGGTAGAGGTAGAGGTAGAGGTAGAGGTAGAGGTAGAGATAGAGGTAGAGGTAGAGGTAGAGGTAGAGGTAGAGGTAGAGGTAGAGATAGAGATAGAGATAGAGATAGAGATAGAGATAGAGATAGAGATAGAGATAGAGAGGTAGAGGTAGAGGTAGAGGTAGAGGTAGAGGTAGAGATAGAGATAGAGATAGAGATAGAGATAGAGATAGAGATAGAGATAGAGATAGAGATAGAGATAGAGAGGTAGAGGTAGAGGTAGAGGTAGAGGTAGAGGTAGAGGTAGAGGTAGAGATAGAGATAGAGGTAGAGGTAGAGGTAGAGGTAGAGGTAGAGGTAGAGGTAGAGGTAGAGGTAGAGGTAGAGGTAGAGGTAGAGATAGAGATAGAGATAGAGATAGAGATAGAGAGGTAGAGGTAGAGGTAGAGGTAGAGGTAGAGGTAGAGGTAGAGGTAGAGGTAGAGGTAGAGGTAGAGATAGAGATAGAGATAGAGATAGAGATAGAGATAGAGATAGAGATAGAGATAGAGAGGTAGAGGTAGAGGTAGAGGTAGAGGTAGAGGTAGAGGTAGAGGTAGAGGTAGAGGTAGAGGTAGAGGTAGAGATAGATAGAGATAGAGATAGAGATAGAGATAGAGATAGAGATAGAGATAGAGATAGAGATAGAGATAGAGATAGAGATAGAGATAGAGAGGGAGAGGTAGAGGTAGAGGTAGAGGTAGAGGTAGAGGTAGAGGTAGAGGTAGAGGTAGAGGTAGAGATAGAGATAGAGATAGAGATAGAGATAGAGATAGAGATAGAGAGGTAGAGGTAGAGGTAGAGGTAGAGGTAGAGGTAGAGGTAGAGGTAGAGGTAGAGGTAGAGGTAGAGATAGAGATAGAGATAGAGATAGAGAGGTAGAGGTAGAGGTAGAGATAGAGATAGAGATAGAGATAGAGATAGAGAGGTAGAGGTAGAGGTAGAGGTAGAGGTAGAGGTAGAGGTAGAGGTAGAGGTAGAGGTAGAGGTAGAGGTAGAGATAGAGATAGAGATAGAGATAGAGGTAGAGGTAGAGGTAGAGGTAGAGGTAGAGGTAGAGGTAGAGGTAGAGGTAGAGATAGAGATAGAATAGAGGTAGAGGTAGAGGTAGAGGTAGAGGTAGAGGTAGAGGTAGAGGTAGAGGTAGAGATAGAGATAGAGATAGAGATAGAGGTAGAGGTAGAGGTAGAGGTAGAGGTAGAGGTAGAGGTAGAGATAGAGATAGAGATAGAGATAGAGATAGAGATAGAGATAGAGATAGAGATAGAGATAGAGATAGAGATAGAGATAGAGATAGAGGTAGAGGTAGAGGTAGAGGTAGAGGTAGAGGTAGAGATAGAGATAGAGATAGAGGTAGAGGTAGAGGTAGAGGTAGAGGTAGAGGTAGAGGTAGAGGTAGAGGTAGAGGTAGAGATAGAGATAGAGATAGAGGTAGAGGTAGAGGTAGAGGTAGAGGTAGAGGTAGAGGTAGAGGTAGAGGTAGAGGTAGAGGTAGAGATAGAGATAGAGATAGAGATAGAGATAGAGGTAGAGGTAGAGGTAGAGGTAGAGGTAGAGGTAGAGGTAGAGGTAGAGATAGAGATAGAGATAGAGATAGAGATAGAGATAGAGATAGAGATAGAGATGATAGAGATAGAGATAGAGATAGAAAGAGAGAAAGAGAGAGAGAGAGAGAGAGAGAAAGAAAGAAAGAAAGAAAGAAAGAAAGAAAGAAAGAAAGAAAGAAAGAAAGAAAGAAAGAAAGAAAGAACCTACTAGTTAAAACAATAATCTAATTTTCACATTCTATTCCAGGGGTCAGCAAACTTTTTTAGCAGAGGGCCAGTCCGCCATCCCTCAGACCATGTGGGGGGCCGGACTATATTTTGGAGGGGAAATGAACAAATTCCTATGCCCCACAAATAACCCAGAGATGCATTTTATATAAAAGGACACATTCTACTCATGTAAAAACACGCTGATTCCCGGAACGTCCGTGGGCCGAATTGAGAAGGCGATTGGGCCACATCTGGCCCCCGGGCCTTAGTTTGCCTACCCCTGTTCTATTCTATGCATGGAAATGGAAGGGTGTGGGGAAGAGGAGCCATTTGACAGGCATGTAAAATTAATTCATTTTCCCCAGCAGCTCTGGCTGAGATCACTTGCCTCGTGAGGGTGTGGAGTGGCAAGGGCAAATGCCAAGGAAACCGCTTCTATCAACCCTTTCCTGCTTCCACTGAGCCTTCTGCCCTACTTCAAAGGTAGCTGAAGGCTGCTGTGCTTACCGTAGTTGTAATTGTTCCGAAGATAAGTCTTCTGGGTTGCTTTTATTGGCTTGCATTTGCAGCGCTCTGGGGGAGAAACACAACAGAAATTCCTTGCATCAGAGGAAATAAACACTCAAAAGCCGTAAGCCTCACTATTCAATCTTTCCAGAACTTATTCATATATGCTGAAATGGTAGCAAGTCATTTGTAGTGGAAACCCAGGCCCTGTTGGATTGTGTGAGTGCCAGCAACAACAGCTAACATTCCCTCGTGGAGAAAACTATTAAAGGTTCAGTATCCCCCCCCCAAAAAAAAGTACAAACAAAAAACCAATTTATTCCTGAGCCTGAAGTTAATAAAACCATATCAGGCTAGAGCATATCATTTTAGGGAGTGAAACTTAATTTTTGAAAATTTTGTTCACTGTGGAGTCTTAAAAATATGTTTTTGGGTGTGAGGAACTGGAATCTGCTATTATTTTTGTGACTGGACAACATTTAGCTTGGTAAGTCTATGCTTGATGAAAGTGCACATACACTGGAAAACCACAGAATCTCAATTTTACCTTCTGGAAATGTCAGGTAATGCTAAACAACAATGGTTTATTTTTATTATGTATATATTAAACGTATATACCAACCTTCATCAAAAGATCTCACAAAATAAAATACAGGATTAAACAAAAGTAAATATTTAAACCAAAACAACAAGACAACTCCTTCTACTTCCCACATAATAAATAGTAAACATATAATGAGTATATAAATATGCCTGCAAATATTTCTTATTAATCGTTCTTAATGATTTCTATGAAATTTTTCGATTTTACACACATTTCAATAAATTATGTTAATTTAACCAAAATATATTTTGAATTCCTAGGTCATAACTTTTTAGCACCTGTTGTTTGGGGAATTTGAAAGTTGAAAAATCCGGGCACCAATCTACATAACGCTACAGCTGCCTTGTATCTGTCCCACCTTTTATTTCTGGAGCACTTGACCAGTGTAAGGGAGAGGGGTGTCATCAAACAGCTGACAGGTTAGGATACAGGTATAGAGACTCTTTGTAGCTGGCCCTCTGGGCTACCCAACCCCCAGGCCACATTCCTCACAGCCCCTGCTTAAACACACACATCCTTTGGGGTTTTTTGCCTGGCTGGAGGGTGTTCTTGAATTCTGATAATGCTTCTTGTTTTCCTGGATGGAGGAATGAGAGGGGTTGACATAGCCTGCTACAATGGAAAAGGGCACATTGGTTTCTGGGCCTACATTTGCCTCAGGCCCTGCCCACCACTGGCACGAGAAAGCGGTTGGATAGCTCAGTTGGTTAGAGTGTGGTGCTGATGATGCCAAGGTTGCAAGTTCGATCCCCTTATGGGACAGCTGCATATTAATGGATCAAAGAGCTTCTATGAATGGTTACAATTGGGGGGGGGGTGGCTAAAATGTTTTGATTTGAAAGACAGTTAAATTGATCTTTTAATCTACTCTTTGATGATACCTGATGGGTGCTTATTTTTATATGTTTTATTACAAATATTGCATGTGTGTGTTTTAAATTCTGTTTCACCATTTGCAAGGGGCTATTGGGTTGTTCCTGTTTTTATTAAGGGACGCGGGTGGCGCTGTGGGTAAAAGCCTCAGCACCTAGGGCTTGCCGATCCAAAGGTCGCGGTTTGAATCCCCGCGGCGGGGTGCGCTCCCGTTGCTCGGTCCCAGCGCCTGCCAACCTAGCAGTTCGAAAGCACCCCCGGGTGCAAGTAGATAAATAGGGACTGCTTACTGGCGGGAAGGTAAATGGCGTTTCCGTGTGCTGCGCTGGCTCGCCAGATGCAGCTTTGTCACGCTGGCCACGTGACCCGGAAGTGTCTCCGGACAGCGCTGGCCCCTGGCCTCTTAAGTGAGATGGGCGCACAACCCCAGAGTCTGTCAAGACTGGCCCATACGGGCAGGGGTACCTTTACCTTTACCTTATTGGGTTGTTCCTGTTTTTATTTCGATTGTGTATTTTGTGTTTTTTATATTGTGTTTTTATACCTGTGAACCAGTATAGGGCAGTATGTAAACTTAATAATAAACAAATAACAAATAAATATATATTCCTGCATTTCAGGGAGTTGGAGTAACTCTACAATTCTATAATCCCTAGCTTAGGGGAAGGAAACAAGCAGAGAGGGAAAATTTACACTGGTGATCACCCAATATCTACCCCCCCCCAAACTGATTTAGCAGATTTAGAAGAGTGTGACCAGTTCACCCGTATTGGAGGCTGAGCCAAGAGGGCGTTGCTGGGGTGCCAAAACAATGATGTAGAATGGAAGGCAAGGGGCAGGGGGCACCAAATTTTGGCATCGCACAGGGCACCGCTGAAATTTGAAAGCCCAAAGTCTGCCACTGCCTCCGACCAAATACCAACAGTGGAGAAAAGTGAAACCAAGGATTGATTGGCTCTGTAACATAGGCAGCCATCAGACCAAAAGCCTCCCTCTAGCTGCTTAGAAATTTTCACTTTCGACTATCAAATGGTTGCTGGTAAGGCTGCCCAGCAGGCAAATCTCCCCCGGTCAACCAACTGGTGGTCTATACCAGAAAATAGCAGGGAAGAGGAAGGACCCTGAGGAAGTAGAGAGTGGCTGGAGGCTGAAGGCAGGAGGAAGTCTAGCAGAAAAGAAAGAATAAACTATGGAGCAAGCAGGATTGCTGAGGGAGGGAGACGTCCGCAAGAGGCAGGAGGAGTTGGGCTATGTGTTAAGGCAGAAAATGGGGGCAATGGGTCAAAGGAAGGAAGAAGAGAGGAAGCAAAGGGCCTCGGAAAAGGTGGGAAATACATGCAATTTTTAAAATGTGAAAAGCAAGCACAACAAACACACATACATTTGCAGGAATGTGGCGGGGGGAGAATGGCCAGCTGGAAGCAAGTATCAGGGAATATTGTCACTAGTGAGAGGATAAGAATGCCCACTGTGTTTTTCGCATGAATCTTCAGAAATTTGTATCTCAAATCAAAAGAGGCAAGGGGGCAGCTGCCCTTCCCTTTAATCACCAGCTGAAAGGTCAACCCCAAACTTCACTGAAAAGATGGGTTTGGGGCTAGGTCCCATCTTGGGGGTGCTTGGGATGGGGGGTGTCTCTAGGCATAAGGTACCGCAAGGGATGATGGGTAGAGTCACGTGAGAGAGCAGGGGACCTCTGGGTAGCAGAGCAGGAATGGAAAAGATCAATATAAATACTCCCAAGAATATAATGGCTCTTTGGCTGCATAAAACTCGGGTGATGGAAGTATTTGCACCCATCTAAAATCTTATTTTTAAAAAACAGAAATCTGGAGAATCTTTTAAGCAACTTTTTTTAAAAAATAAAAAAAAAGGAAGGCTTATGAAACAGACAAAAATGTCATTTCCTAGCCAAAGGAAGAGGGGTAATATTTATACATAAGGTTTTGCCAGCTGACGTTGCCAGGGATGAGACTTGACTTGATTAGATTTTGCACAGAGACATTATTCACCAGCGAAAATAACACACCAAAGAGAACCTCCAACTTTCTTTTGAAATGCTGAGCCCAAGGTTTTTTTTCTTTAATCCTCACTGGAGGGCAGTGCTTAAAACGCAGAAGTAATAATACTCTTGTGTTCCTACAGCACTTCTTAGAATAGCTCAAAGTGCTTCACATACATTTTTCTTATTGTTAATTCTTATATCCCCAGGATGGGGAATCTGGGGCCTTCAAGATGCGGTTGGACTACAACTCCCATCCTTCCTCACCACTGGCCATGCTGGCTGGGGCTGATGGGAGCTGGAGTCCCAAGAACATCTGGAGGACACCAGGTACCCCATCTGTGCCTTATGAAAACCCTGCATGGCAGGCAAATTTCAGTTCTGGGGAACCTGTGGTCATCCAGGTATTATTGGATTATGATGCCTATCAGCCTCCACCAGCATGGTTCAATGTCAAGGATGATGGGAGTTGTCGTCCAATAACAACTGGAAGGCCACAGGGGAAGGTGGCCATCCACTTTGCAGAGGGGCATTCTGTCACACACTACTGAATAAACACAGCGCTTGAGTTGCAGCCCCAAAGGACCACAGGACTAGCAACTTTATGAAACCTACTGGTCAATGTGGTGTGTTTTTTATACAATCAGGACAGTAGAATATATCCTGGTTTGGGGAAGGGGCACTGGACTTTGGCCCACAGCCAGTCAGGCATGATGGAACAAGGAAGATAAGAGGAGGATTTGCTGGCAGGGAAATTGAGGGTGAGCTCTGGTAGGTGTTGGAGAGGGAATGGCTTTAAAAACTTGACACACTGATATTTCAAGATGCACTTGCTGCGAAGCCCGATGGAGATCAGCTTTAGGGAATCCCATACTGGATACTATACCTACTCTCCTTTACAATAGATCCACAGACAGGCTAAAACCCAGCTTTGTCCAAGAAAGAACCTAATTTCTAAAAAATGAACATCAGGAAAAACACTTCAACTACAAGGTTTTAAAAGCTTCTTTACATCACTTCCATCACAGAAAGCAATTTATATAATTTTACTCTTAGACGGGGCAAGGCACATAGCAATGCAAGAGTCAGCTTTTATAAAATACAACTTTCAAGGGAGTCCTGATGCCATTTCAGTAAAGGATGGTGTACGTATTTGAATGCTAAGCAATCCTAAGATGGTGGCCCCTAGTCCAAACAGATACATCTCCCTTTGAGCAGGACCCAACTTTAACTCATACTTGCATTCGACCTCCACCTTGGCCTGCAGGGTGAGGGGGCTTCCATGGTCCTCTAAGAGGTCCCACAGGGCTTTCCTTATCTGCAAATGATGCACAGGCATAACTTCTGTGAGGAATAATGGAACTGCTCATCCTCCCAGGCAAGAAATAACTATCTGTGCATCAGTTGCCATGGGGCCTGTCTGTATCCATGCAAGTCCTCTGCCATCTATTGCCCTCCAAGCCTCCAGAGGTGTAGAAGATACTGATCAAGATGGACTCAGTATCAAGCGCTTCCCCTGTCCCACCCAGGGACAGTATCAAGGCACACATGTAGGCTCAACTGAACAGAGAGCCATGATTTGTGGACACCACCCATGTCTTCCCTCCCACATTTCAACGTCACATTGAGGCTTTTTCACACATCACACTGAACAGAAGTGGAAGATGTCCTTCTGCACATCTATACAAGTAACCCTCACTCCCCAAGAGTGCTCTCAAGTTGATGGGGAAAGGGATTTTGTGTCAGGAGAGACATGGAGATTAGCCGTGTGGACAGTAGACTTGCAGGACCCTGATAAAGCAAGAACTATCCATAAACCTCCATTCAGCAGCTGCATTTCATTAATGCCCTGGCTGTTTGACACATGAAGGATAGAGTTCACTTGCATTCAGCGCCTCTAAAGTTTTGCTGTTTTCTTAAATCTCCAGATTTCTTTCTTCTTGCCTGTCTGGCTCTGTGGGCAGAAACAATCAAAGGACCTTACCCACCCCACCCCACCCCCTTAGCCATCATGTTGCTGTCATGACATGATCACGACACATCATGGCATTAACACGCCACTGTCGTGACACATCAAGACGCTATTGCGTCACTGCATTGTTAAGATCTGCTCTCAAGACAGATAGCTCAATTGGTCAAGCATGAGACCCCTTAATCTCAGCGTTGTGGGTTCAAGTGCCACACTGGGCGAAAGATTCCTGCATTGCAGGGGGTTGGACCCTTGCAACCCCTTCCAAGGAGGAGGAGGAGGAGTTTGTACTTGATATCCGACCTTTCAACTCCCTTTAAGGAGTCTCAAAGCGGCTAACATTCTCCTTTCCCTTCCTCCCCCACAACAAACGCTCTGTGAGGTGAGTGGGGCTGAGAGACTTCAAAGAAGCGTGACTAGCCCAAGGTCACCCAGCAGCTGCATGTGGAGGAGCGGGGACGCGAACCCGGTTCCCCAGATTACGAGTCCAACTGCTCTTAACCACTACACCACACTGGCTCCCCCTCTACCATTCTATGATTCTATAAGAAAAAAAGAAATGATTCGATAAAATGTACTCACCATTGCCGGTGCCTCTACAGTTGCCATTATTAGACTCCATAGGGAAATCTGGCATGAATTGTTAAATATGTAAAGAAATGTTAGTATTTTTAATATTGGATTATGTCAACACAGCCACATCAAAACGCTCCAATTTTAATACACTAAATATTAGAAAATAACGAAGACTATATTAATGGAGGGGGGATGGAGGGGGCTCCCTATATGTAGACAATGGCTTAAAATCAGGGACCAAGCATATGATCCCAGGTCTCCTGGTGGCAAATGGAGTTGGCTGCACACTCAGGGCACTTTTCGGTGCTGCTATTGACAACTGGGCAGCCTAGCTTGTGTGCAGAGCTGGATCAGAGCCATTCTTTTTAACAGAAGCAAGAAAAAGATGAGGTGTTAAAAAGCTGAAGCAAACCTATTTGTTTTTAAAACACGTATCCATGGCAGTGCACAGTGAGCATGGCAGTGGTGAGCATGCCTTCTATCTCCCACCACACACATGGAGAAATGCTTATGTAGGTAAGGTCAGTTCCAGCAGTCTGTCTACTCCTTTTTGGAAGCAGGTGACCAGGGCCTGTTTATTTCAGAATTTAGGTGAGCTTTGGCTCTCAACACCAGCAACAAAAATCCACAAAACAGTATTCAAAACCAACCAACCTAGGGCTATCAGCCAGCTAAAACGTGTTCATTAATCAACTTTCATTTAAATGGTAAATCACCCCATTCAAGTAAGTTTAAATATATCTGCATATCACAAAAATACTTAAGTGTCTTTTTTGAGATCTTGAAGTCTAAGATGTTGTGTGCAGCTCAATTAGTCAAAGGTTTCCTCTCATTGCTAGAAGAAAGGACCATTCTTGATATTTTCAGTTTCCTTCCCTATGACAACAGTACATCAGAACCAAAATAGACTAAAAAACAAACTTTGCTACCCTATTAGTTGAAATGTTCATTTACGATTAAAATTGCACACCAGTTAATCAAATAAAGCTTTTGTTGCACTGTCTGTTGGTCAGTGAATTAAATGTTGCAGCTGCACGTAACAAAATCGTTAGCTTGTTGCAGATTATCTGATATAAATGGGTAGAAGACACAACACCACATTTCAATTTTTCCCCTAAAGTATTTCAGGAAGTATTCTGTTTAGGAAGAAGTATGCTACTTAATGTATTCCACATTTACAATGCAGCCACTGTTTACAGTGTTTCAGCATGTAGAATCATAGAATCATAGAGTTGGAATAGACCACAAGGGCCATGGAGTCCAACCCCCTGCCAAGCAGGAAACACCATCAGAGCACTCCTGACATATGGTTGTCAAGCCTCTGCTTAAAGACCTCCAAAGAAGGAGACTCCACCACACTCCTTGGCAGCAAATTCCACTGTCGAACAGCTCTTACTGTCAGGAAGTTCTTCCTAATGTTTAGGTGGAATCTTCTTTCTTGTAGTTTGGATCCATTGCTCCATGTCCACTTCTCTATGTGAGATATAGATATATATTTTTACTATTATATCTACTAAGGGAGGAATTCAGTATTGTGCAATGGCGATCATTCTATCAGGACAAGAATTTCAAATTGCCAGAAAGAACAATCCCTCCTCTACTCTCCCCCATGCACTATTCTAGGGGTTCTCATGAACTCCCCCAAGCCATTTGTGGGGGCACAAAGGGTTGAGAGGGGGGAAACCCAATTGCGCAGTCAGAGGTCCTTGCACAGGACTTCGGCTGATGGACTTGTTAGTTGAATTTTGCCCTAGATGTTTTGGAATGTTGTTTGGACACCCAAAGAGCTCATCCCCCAAATGTGTACGCTGGTTCCTGAGATCAACGAGCAAGTTTCCATCTAAGTTTGGATACAATTGAAAGAAAAGAATTGACTGAACTTTTCCAGTGGCGGACCTTGGGGTCTCAAATTTAAGTGACGCCCCCTTGCCTCCCGCCTTCCATTCCACATCATAGTTGTGGTGCCCCTGAAGCTCTGCACCCAGCGCGACCAAACGGGTCATGCTCCCCTAAATCTGCCCCTGATTTTCCAAAAATGCACTGATTTCTTTTTTTGTTTCATAGAATTCCCAAGCAACGAGGCTGCTTGAACATGTGTATATTGCACTTTGCATAAAACTCGGAATCAGCAGCCAGAGCATTAACTGCTACATTAGTAAAGACTGAGCATGAGAAAAGGAAAAAAGTAGAGAGAACAACAGCTTCACTGGATTCAACAGTCTCAAGTGGCTCTCAAGGGCAGCGGTGCTGCTTCCTTTTTGAGCATCTGCCAGCCCAGTCCTCACGGTCAACACTGCCAGGTGCGCTCATGTGGGGTGCTGAGCGTTTGGGGAGCCTGTGCTCCAACCCAGCCCTCACCCACTGGAGCCAAGAGGGGCTGTGCTGCACTGCCTGCTGGCCCACCCACCCACCCACCCACACAGGGAGGGGTCCAGCTGGCCAAGGTGGCTCTTGGCAGGTGAATCCCCCCCCCCATCGCCAATGGGCGGTCATTCAGCGAGGGAGCTGGGGACGTGGCAGTGAGGCCAGGCCAGGCTCTGGGGCCCAGAGACTTGGAACAGGCAGGGTGGAACAGAGATCCCTGCATGGGGACACCTGGCTTGTGCCCCCTAAAAATTGAGCACCCCCTGGCCCTCCCCACGCTATGCCCCTGCTCAAGGGTTTCAGGTCTTGCCCAGCCCCACTTGGGGCTGGCAGGGTTTGAACCAAGGACCTTTTTGCACATGACACATGTGCCACAATGCTGAGCTGTGCCCTCCTCAGGAAACTCATGAGCCAACGATACGGTGGCCCCTAACACAATGTGATCTATATGGTTATTATTTTTCCTCCTCCAGTCCTTTACCTCATAATGTAGCGGTAAATGCCAAACTCATACAATGAGCCCTTGAGACTGCGGCCTCATCTGGCATCACACACTTCTCCCCCAGATTCTGCCTATACTGAATGATACATCGGATGTGCCCATCAGGCTGACCAAGATTTGTGGCCAAAAATGCCTATACTGTACACTGACCTCCTCCCTCTAGGCACTTCAGCCTACATCTCAAGTGGAATGCGGGTGTCACTGTGGTCTAAACCACTGAGCCTCTTGGGCTTGCCGATCAGAAGGTCGGCGGTTCGAATCCCCATGATGGAGTGAGCTCCCATTGCTTTGTCCCAGCTCTTGCCAACCTAGCAGTTCGAAAGTAGATAATTAGGTACTGCTGCTGCGGGGAGGTAAACGGCGTTTCCGTGCACTCTGGTTTCTGTCACGGTGTCCCGTTGCACCAGAAGCAGTTTAGTCATGCTCGCCACATGACCTAGAAAGCTGTCTGTGGACAAACGCCGGCTCCCTCAGTCTGAAAGAGAAATGAGCGCCGCACCCCATAGTCGCCTTTGACTGGACTTAACCATCCAGGGGTCCTATACCTTTACCTTTCACCTTTACACCCCTACTTACTCTGTGCAGACAACATTCTCAACTCCAGAAACCAGATCCAAATTAGCAACTAACTAGAATAGAAATGTTTTATTCTACTTTTAGAAGGCAGAATTATATTCCCTGGGGGAAAGTGGGTGGAGTGGGAGACAGAGAGAGAGAGAGATGACTTCTACATAGTGACTGGCGTGTTTGTTTAATTTTTTTAATCAGAATTTAGAATGTCATCATGTTCCCATTCAGTGAAAGAAAGTCTTCATGGATTTCAGGCTGGAATCATTCAATGAAACTATTGTGCTCCTTCTGGTCCTTCGTAATAGGTAACTTTGGGGCAATTTGACAGAAAACGACTTCTCTCGGCTTTTGAATGCGACTGCTCTTAAATGGCTGCAGGCTCTGCCAAGGCTGGTTTCAGTGCAGATCTTGTTTTTCGGGAGCGCTGGGAAGCATCTCCACATGACGGGAGGAAGATGTTTGCAAAAACCTCAATATGAGACATTCACTAGCTCCCTCCTTGCTTGGGCACTCAAAACCACTTGCGCTGAAACCTTCCCAGCAGGTATCAGCCCAAGACAGCTGCAACAACAGTCTGTACTCTGTCTACAGACAGACCCGGGGAGTTAGGTTTAGAATGGCTGGAGCTTGAAGAGCAGATGTCAAAGTACAAGGCAAAGAGAGAAGGAGGAGTTGGAATTAGACTGAGGAGGGAGATGGGGACCAAGTAAAACTGCTCTGCTGAGCCAAAGGCAGAGAAATGGTGGACATTTTGACAAATCAGCAATGACTGATGTTTTAAACGGGTCTGAATCCAACACTGCAGGATATCAGGGGTAGCAAACATGGTTGCTGTTTTTATGGATCTGTTCTATTGTTTCCATGTTTGTATTCATGCACACTACTTGGTGATTTTGAGGTTTATAAATGATTTTACATAAAATAAATACATAAAATCATCTTTAACCAATAGACAGGTTGGCTGGGGCTCAGGGAAATTGGTGCATAGCTGTCAACTTTCCCCTTTTATTAAGGGAAATTCCCTTATTCCAAATAGGATTCCTCACAAGAAAAGGGAAAAGTTGACAGCTATGAATTGGTGTTGAACAACATCCAGAGGACACCTAGCTGGTTATCCCTGATATAAGCTATGCAAGAGCAAACTAGCGTGGAGCCAACAGGCATTTTGCACTTCGAGAGGGCAGAGAACGAACTATCACAATGAAGACGTGAGCTGTAAAACGACCAGCTGTAAAAGGAAAACCCTCATCCACAACTTCTGCTTTTTTTGACTCTTCCCATCTGTGCTGCTCCTTTTCATCACCTGACCATATGAAGGCCCACATTATATGAGCTCATCCCATATACCTTCATGTGTCTATTCCATATGTCCCTGGGGCCTTTAAGAGCCCTGTATTTGCAAGATCTGCATGCAATCTGGAAGGTCCTCCCCCCCTTGATTCAGAAGATCCCTCATCCCTGTTGAATTAAGAAGCCTGTTTAAAAAAACAAAAACAAAACACCATGTACAGGTTTGGAAAATGGAAAAGCTGAATATCTGAAGGTGGGCCCAAAATAGTTAACAGCCTTCTTTACTAGCTATGAAAAAGGCCAGATACACTGGACTGAGCCTGCAAAA